AGCAGGAACTTTTTTTCCCCCAGGAAATTACAAAAAACGAGATTTTATAGCAGCATGAAGTGAACAATTGCCCTGTCCTGGAAGTACTATATGCTGAATATGGAATGTTATAACCAAGGCTAGTATGAACAATCCATACTCTATTCACAGCATGAATGTGGTATTTTTTGTCACACAGTAGTAAAAGACTCTTAGGCATTTTTTAGTATCTATAAATATGAACGTACAGAAAAAAAAATCTACCTTTGTACATCTGCAATCCTTACCCTCAGACCATCTGCACATCTGAATATGGTAATTCCTTCAAAATGCAAAACTTTACATAAGAATGAAATAAAAATTTATGAACAACATCGTCTTTTTTTGTAAAACCTTCAAGCATTAAAAAATTAGTAGTGATGAACTCAGGTTTTCAATGAAATCTGATGTACTGTACCTGTAAATGTTTTACAATATTAACAACTTCTCTAGTTGAATAGGGATAGTTAATAATTCCTTGGTCAGCTAAGCTCCTGAGTTCTCCAAAAGCAGCCACCAGTTTCTGAAGAACTGGCTCTGGAACATCAGGACCATATTGTCTAAGCATAGCCAGTTCAGATTGTGGTTTGGGATTATCAACAGCATGGCAACTAAAAATGTCCCCTAAAAGAAATAAAAAGTATACAGTTAAATGATTTAATAAGAAACAACAGCCCCTTGAAGTTTCATATAGCACCTTAAATAGAAAAGCAATAAATCAAGAGGATACTGAGTACTTGCTTGTTAAAACAAAACAAAACAAAAAGACAAAAACTACTTTGAAAAATATGAAGGATAAATTTGCTATGAATAACACCCAGGTTCCTGGAAAGATGGAGATCTCTCCTGTCATTTTAAAGAAGGTGATCACAAGGGGGAAATTCACTTCAAGAAGAAACACCAGTCATATAAATGCAGAAAAAAAAGAAAATAAAAAAGGTTTAAAGAAAGAATAACAGATTAAAAGGGACCAATTTGTGAACATCTTCAAGATACCACAGCATGAAGGGAAATCTTGATATGCAAGAATGCCCTTAAGCAAACCCAGGTGAGAGATCTAGAGCAAAGATTTTCTCTCTGCCTTTTTGAAGTATATAAGAAATTTAGCTAGATATTCTTCTTGTATATTTGCATTATGCTGGTCCCAATCATATAATCTATAAAACCGAGCTTATTTGTAAAAAGCTCTTTAACAGGTATACAAAGCTTTGCAGAATCATAATCAGATCCTGTTGAAAAAGGACTTGGACTAAAGCAGAAGAGCCCCTCTGCTTGAAAAAACAAAATCAGCCAAGAACCCAAAACCTCAAGCAAGCCTCTATCATGTGCATCAAAAGTAGTAATCCTTGGATGATCAGTTTTCTCTATGTATGGACGTATGGACATATGTCTATGTATGTACAACAGGGAATTGCCCATTTCCTGGAAACTACATCTGGAAAACAAAAAAGCTATCATGCAATACAGAACGGTGTTTGCACCTGCTTTTACGATTGTTATTTCTTGCAGAATAAACATTACAGCCAAAGCTAACAGATAAAAACACATACATTAAGGTGCCTGTACATAAATGGCTAAACTAACATAGATAAAACAGCCAGTGGAGTCTGGAGGTCTATTCACCCTGTAGCCTTGGTGTAACACTGCCAAAACCTTGCCAGAGGCCCACCTGGACTAACACTGGACTATCCAGGCCAATGAATTCTTCATCATTTGCCCTTATGTAATGTAAATTCTTGCTTTTGCTCTGAGATGAAGCTATTGGGAATCTTTGCTGATGCACAGGATTTTTGGGACCTACCAGCTTTATGAAATAAAGCTGCTGTTGATATGAAAAACTTTGATGTGAAATTTGGACAGCCTTGAAAATAGTATTAATTCAATATCTTGTAAAAAATATATAATTTAATAAGGCCTATCACACATGGGCATTGGCATGGAGAGGCTAACGAGGATTAAAAACTAGGTAGTGAAGTGCTAACACAAAAAAAACTAGCAGCCTCTATGGCCGAGAGGAAAGAACTACACATCAAGGTCCCATCTCTTGTACTGAAAAGGACAGCACCTGGCCTGTGGCTTGTTTGATATGTGGAAAAAAATAGTGAGTTGTGTTAACCACTGATGTGAGGTATCAAGCTACTTACAGCTCATGTTTTTGCTATGTTTGCATAAAATATATGCTCATTAAGAAAGATTTCTTGTAATCTTGTCTGTCCACTGGTACAAAACCCATAAAACAAATCAGTTGTAGCACGAATGACCACGTACAGCAGTTCACTCAGGGCAAAAAGGGGCACTTGTATTAAGCTATGTACATTGACAAGTTAATCTTCAATCTGAATCTCACCTTGAGTGTCTTATGTGAAACAAAACATCAATATGCATAAGGACCCCTTCTCCACATGAAATCTAATTAATAAAGTCTGTCATTGTATTAATAAATTTTATTGAAGATCATAATTTAATATGAATCACTTACCTAATGTGCCAAAAAAGTCATTACCCAAGAAAGGAAATCCAGGTCTATTTGCTAGAACTATCATTCGAAAGTCAGGATGAACAACTATTACATTTTCTCTCCCATCTATATGAGCATGATCTGGAAAAGAAATAAAATTTATTAATTGCATATTTTAGCTTCGCATTATGAATGAATTAAATAAACATAATTAGATTACAATAATTCTTCTTAGAATCAAAACAGTTACCAAAAAAGGCTCAATATCTTCTTAGCATGTAATTAAAATGAGTGTTCTAGGTTTCATTTTAAAGTTTCATAATTTGTCTCATGAAAATTAAATCTGTTTAATTAAAAAAAAATAATTAAAATGCATCCACTATTCTTGGGGTGGGCCTACCTGTTGTGTTTATATTTAATTTCACCAAAATGCTGAAGCCAATGTTGAATACATTGTTTGGGTTTTATTTTTATATATATGTCTGGCCTTATCTGATCTGGGAACACAGGACTGAAATTCCTTCTGGTTACTACAAAAAACTGCATGAAGCAAAAGACACATGATTTCAAACATTTGAAGGCTCTTCTTCTCCAAAATGAGTCAGAGTGGCCTGACTTCTTCCCTTGCAGCACATTTCCAGTGGCACATGGTGTTTGGGAATCCTTTTACCTTCTCTAAAAAGCTACAGTAATAATTGAGACTGCCTATCAAAATATTTTTTAAAACTGCCCACCTACAGTTTATAATAACAAGCAAAACTCAAGTGTCATGCAATGTGAGCACTGAATGATTGCTCCCCTCAAGCATTGTTCCAAATACTGCTACAAAACCCCTCATTATGAAAAGCACAGTGCCTACCAACATCAAGAGAGTATTTCAAACACAGTATTTCTTTGGAAAATAATGAAAAATATTTAGTTCCTGAAATGAACATGAATAAAATTCGGCTACGTTACAAAATACTCTCACTCTGCAGGATGTATTTAAATAAAGTATATGCAATATTTTATTAGATGAAACTTTTAACAATTCAACCTTAGATGTACTTATATCTCCAAATTTAGATCTGATCAAATTATACTTCAACTGAGATGGGTGTAGCTGAGATTATAATTTGGTCAACTACAATTTTATTTCTTATGGTAAATCAGGAGCATAAAAGTCAGTTTACAATTTGTTGGGGGGTTTCGGGTTTATTTTTTAATTATTATTATTATTACCAAAAAAAAGCAAAACTCATGAGAACGCTAGTTTAAGAAAATAGTCACTATTGCCAAAGTAGTAAAGAAAAGACTGCAAATTCTTTAATTGTTAAACTTTTAGCATCAAGTAGTTTTTCCTTATGGCCTCTTTTAGGACACTAGTCAGTAAAGTAATTGCTGAAACCCATCAAGATGTTACATTGTATTGTAAATTACTAAAACACCTTCTATCTACTTACTGGCAACAATTCGCCTTCCATCTGACAAAACCATTTCTCCACTTTCTACTAAAGTTTTTAAGATACAGGTAACATTAGTTGGTGCTTTGTCTGCCTCATCAACTACCAAAATATGTCCGAACTTCACTGCTTTTACCTAGAAGAGAAAAGAATCAAAACATCATAACCCCACCAAAAAACCTGCAAGAAACTGTATTACTGATTTCTCAGTCAGCAATAGGAACATATCAGTGGCACTGAGACAAGGAAGGGACTCAGAACAGGGGTAAGCTATGACCAGACTGTAGCAGAGAGAAGAGAAGGCAGTTGAGACAAGAAAAATGGGCATTTCTGTTTGTTCAGGGTAGGTATGGATAGGGCAGTGCCAGGGAGGGAAGTGAGAAGCCTGCCAGAGAATGAACTGGAGTGCTGACAGTGAAGTGCAAAAGCCTTGTGCATCTAGATTTTTCACATGTAGCTGAAAGAACCGAAGAATGGCTGGAACAGCTGCTTGAAGTAGCAGCTACAAAAGAGAAGGAGGCAAATACCACTCCACCAGTTAGAATTTGTCAGGTTAATACTAAATTACTTTCCATACTAATTCTGTGCCTGCTGCTTCCAAAGACAAATCAGCTTATTTGCATTTGGCACAGGAAACATGTCCAAATGTGACCAAAGCAAAAGTTACTGAAGCGTTGCTACACTTCGACTGTGCCATTGAAGTAATCAAATCAGAAAGAAATTTCTTTTTTTTGAAAACCAACATGTTTAACTACTTATTTTAAACCATAAACATTTCAAAAAATATAAACCAAATGTTACTACTGACCAGGGGTGAATCTTCGTATATAATAAGACCATCTTTAACAGAAGGTTGTAGGGTAAGGCTTTGTACAGTGGTATCCCTAAAATGGGGAAAAACAGACAGTATTTGGTTAGAGATATTCAGAAATTCTAGTTACAATAAAATGCAAAATGAATAAATGAAAAACTGGAGGCTCTCTTTTTCTAAGAAGAAAAAAATAATCTAATTTTTTTTTTTTTCTGGTTTTGTTATTAGAGTTCTTGAAGAACTTTGACTGAGAACAATGCTCTACCATCTTAGTAGTCAAAGGTGTGTATCTCCATCTCCACCAGGTCTTTCAAGGTAGTTCTCAGTTACTCACAGACCCTGGAAATGAAAACACTGAAAAGCGAACCTGTAACTTTTGCAGCTAAGTATATTACTACTGTTTCTACTATTTCTAGTTAAGTATGGTAAAATTTTCATTTACATGACAAACAGGAATCTCCTCAGAAGAATCAGTATCATCGTCAAATCGTCAATGTTCTAGTTGCTCTTCTCTACATATCATCAACAGACAATAATAATAATAAAAAAGGCTAAAAATACTCATCTGGAATTCTAAAAAGCAATTATTTTTAGTTCTATCTAAACCATACCAGATGCAATAAATTTTACTATCATTTGCTACATTTCGTATCTTGAACAACATAAGCTCTTAGACGGGACAGAGGCTTTAACAGCATTATATTTCTTTTTGAAATTTTATTTGTGTTTGAATTGCTCAAAAGGGTTTTTTCCTTCAAATTTAAAATAGTGGTAATTAAGATCTGTAATTAAAATATTCCTTATTCTTCACTATTTTAATCCATTTAGCCACCACGGAACGTACAGATAAATGAAGACCAGTTGCAATTCAGAAAGGTCCAGAAACACACATCACCAAATCAGATAAATTATGTCCATAACCTTGGGAAAACCTGCCCTGATTTTACAAAATATTCATCAAATCTTTGTCAAGACCCATAAAACCAACCCCATTTACTTTGGGGTTCAGAAGAATCCATGCGCTAAGTAATAATCCAGAAGTGGGTCATGACAAGAAGGTTCCCACATCTCCCACAGCTTCATGAACAATAGAATACACAATTCAGTCTTAGGGCAAGTAGGCTATGCCATCCTCCAGTATTTAAAATTTTGGATTAGTCTGTGACAACACAACAGGGGACTATTCATATGACATAACCCATCAGGAGACCCTCACTTGCACTGTTTGACATCCACATGCTGGTTGACAGCCAAAGGCCAGTAACCTTTGCATTATCTGTGAGACCTGATGCAACAAAAATCTCTCACCTTCCACAGCTATGCTGTAACACAAAACTACCTGCTTCAGCTAAACTGACTCACTGTTCTAAATATCCACCTTAGTTCTGTCTTTAGTTTTGTAAGACCTTGTAAAAACTCAACACTATTCTGACAAATTCCATGGGTACAGGAAATCAAACTCAGTCCTGTTTGCAGTAAACTATGAAATGGCGCATTTCCAATTACAGTTTTAAACTGACAGCATAACGTGCACGTTTCCTTTACTTGAAGCTGCTGTCAGCAGGATTTCTGTCCCTAGCAACTAATAATTTCTTGTTTAGCTTTAAACTCATGATTGATTTATCCCAGTGTTTCTCATGCACAGGAATAAAGCATAAGGCAGGAACAGAGATTATTTGGCTACTGAAACTTTAATCCAGGAGGGGAAAGGTTACAAAGCTGAGACCACCTCCACTTTATTTACTCTCTTCAACTGAGGCCTCTCATAAGCAGCAACACTCTCCAAAATAGTTATATACATACACAAGTCCTGTGAGGAGCAGCTGAGGGAACTGGAGTTATTTAGTCTGGAGAAACAGGAGAGCTTATTGCTCTCTACAACTACCTGAAAGGAGGTTGTATCGAGGTGGGAGTTGGTCTCTTCTCTCAAGTGACAAGTGATGCGACAAGAGAAAATGGCCTCAAGTTGCAACAGGGTAGGTTTAGACGGGATGTTAGGAAAAACTTCTCCACTGAAAGGGTTGTCAAGCATTGGAACAGGCTGACAAGGGAAATCATTGAGTCACCATCTCTGGAGGTATTTAAGAGATGTGTAGATGTGGTGATTGGGGACATGGCTTAGTGGTGGACTCGCAGTGTTAGGAAGAATCAGTGTCATCGTCAAATCGTCAATGTTCTAGTTGCTCTTCTCCACATATCATCAACAGACAATAATAATAATAAAAAAGGCTAAAAATACTCATCTGGAATTCTAAAAAGCAATTATTTTTAGTTCTATCTAAACCATACCAGATGCAATAAATTTTACTATCATTTGCTACATTTCGTATCTTGAACAACATAAGCTCTTAGACGGGACAGAGGCTTTAACAGCATTATATTTCTTTTTGAAATTTTATTTGTGTTTGAATTGCTCAAAAGGGTTTTTTCCTTCAAATTTAAAATAGTGGTAATTAAGATCTGTAATTAAAATATTCCTTATTCTTCACTATTTTAATCCATTTAGCCACCACGGAACGTACAGATAAATGAAGACCAGTTGCAATTCAGAAAGGTCCAGAAACACACATCACCAAATCAGATAAATTATGTCCATAACCTTGGGAAAACCTGCCCTGATTTTACAAAATATTCATCAAATCTTTGTCAAGACCCATAAAACCAACCCCATTTACTTTGGGGTTCAGAAGAATCCATGCGCTAAGTAATAATCCAGAAGTGGGTCATGACAAGAAGGTTCCCACATCTCCCACAGCTTCATGAACAATAGAATACACAATTCAGTCTTAGGGCAAGTAGGCTATGCCATCCTCCAGTATTTAAAATTTTGGATTAGTCTGTGACAACACAACAGGGGACTATTCATATGACATAACCCATCAGGAGACCCTCACTTGCACTGTTTGACATCCACATGCTGGTTGACAGCCAAAGGCCAGTAACCTTTGCATTATCTGTGAGACCTGATGCAACAAAAATCTCTCACCTTCCACAGCTATGCTGTAACACAAAACTACCTGCTTCAGCTAAACTGACTCACTGTTCTAAATATCCACCTTAGTTCTGTCTTTAGTTTTGTAAGACCTTGTAAAAACTCAACACTATTCTGACAAATTCCATGGGTACAGGAAATCAAACTCAGTCCTGTTTGCAGTAAACTATGAAATGGCGCATTTCCAATTACAGTTTTAAACTGACAGCATAACGTGCACGTTTCCTTTACTTGAAGCTGCTGTCAGCAGGATTTCTGTCCCTAGCAACTAATAATTTCTTGTTTAGCTTTAAACTCATGATTGATTTATCCCAGTGTTTCTCATGCACAGGAATAAAGCATAAGGCAGGAACAGAGATTATTTGGCTACTGAAACTTTAATCCAGGAGGGGAAAGGTTACAAAGCTGAGACCACCTCCACTTTATTTACTCTCTTCAACTGAGGCCTCTCATAAGCAGCAACACTCTCCAAAATAGTTATATACATACACAAGTCCTGTGAAGAGCAGCTGAGGGAACTGGAGTTATTTAGTCTGGAGAAACAGGAGAGCTTATTGCTCTCTACAACTACCTGAAAGGAGGTTGTATCGAGGTGGGAGTTGGTCTCTTCTCTCAAGTGACAAGTGATGCGACAAGAGAAAATGGCCTCAAGTTGCAACAGGGTAGGTTTAGACGAGAGCAGCTGAGGGAACTGGAGTTATTTAGTCTGGAGAAACAGGAGAGCTTATTGCTCTCTACAACTACCTGAAAGGAGGTTGTATCGAGGTGGGAGTTGGTCTCTTCTCTCAAGTGACAAGTGATGCGACAAGAGAAAATGGCCTCAAGTTGCAACAGGGTAGGTTTAGACGGGATGTTAGGAAAAACTTCTCCACTGAAAGGGTTGTCAAGCATTGGAACAGGCTGACAAGGGAAATCATTGAGTCACCATCTCTGGAGGTATTTAAGAGATGTGTAGATGTGGTGATTGGGGACATGGCTTAGTGGTGGACTCGCAGTGTTAGGTTAATGGTTGGACTTGATCTAACCAAAATGATTCCAACCTAAATGATTCTGTAATTCTATACTGTATTCACTTGAAAAATATAAGTTTTTTAACCATTAAGATAAACAGTAGCATTAATCTGTTATCTTAGATATCCTACTGTGGACATAAAACCAAAACTTCTACTGTCACCCTACTTGTCTACCCATTTCTACATTAGGCAGAGATATCAATTATGGACCAAAAATTAACAATAAACAAACAGCTTTTATTTCTTGAACACAGATTATTTAGGGATTATGAAATTGTATGTATTAGTCTATGTCCATTAATGTTTATAATTTCTGGTTCAAACATATACATTTGCAGAAGTAGAAGAATATCAAAAGGTATAAACCAAACCCTACAGCATATGAAGGCACAGTCACAGGTTACTAATTAGTCAGAAATAAATAACAGATTTTTTTTTTAAATGGAATTAATCCAAGGAGAGAAATGGAAGTATTTGTCAAACCTGAAATGTGATCTCTTTAAAGTGATAAAAAACTGAGAAAACTGAAGGATCTAAAGAAAGAATAGGACAAAAATAAGGTAAAGGAAGATGAAACATTACAGGATGTTTTATAGAACATAAATTTGAACACAGCAGCCTGTGCATAAAAAAAACAACAACAAACAAACAAAAAAACTGAACGGAGTATATCAGGAAAGGAAGATCTCCAGTGGTGTGGATGGACACAGATGGCAATGAAAGGAAAGATACAAGTCACTAATGGTGTTTTACTGTAACAGAAAAGCATGTATTTTAGTTTCGGTGAGGTAGTTACTCTTCTGGTTCTGAAGAGATTACTCACAATCCCCTGACAGGGAATACTAATTTGTGCTTAGTAACAGAGAAATCCTTGGGATGATCTCATTGTTCAGCGAAGACAGCATTGACCACATATTTGGGGGAAATAAATACCAGAAGAGCTTAACAGGTTACCTAAGTGCTAGTATGAGATATGCATGAATCAGAAAAAAATTACAGAAGGAATCAAAAGGAAAGAAACCGACATCATAAATCCAGTTCCTAGTTTTTTTTCTTGTTTTATCTGTG